AGTCTACTCTAATGTCACCGTTACGGTAACGTAATTTGAATATGGCTGTTTAAAATCTGTCAATAATATTTAGCTACATACGTGAACAATTGATATTAAGCGTTCTTTAATACTTCATTGTTTCAAAGTCTGTATCCTTTTTTAATTAAATTAAATCTATTACAATTTTATTTGTGGAACAATATTATAAACTTCACTGAGCGTTCTTCAGGTTTTCAATGCTCATTTTTATCGGTATAAATCAATAGTACATTTCAATCGATTTTATAACGAATGTAGTTATTTTTATGTGAATGAATAAAATTATATTTGATTTTTACCCTTGTTTTATAAACAATATACAAATTTCACTGACTTTTTGTTAATACTGCTCAACTAACAAACTGACAACTTAACACTTCATTCACGACTGTCGTGCGGCGTGCGTGATGAGAAGTGAGAATGTATGATCATGACGCAACTATGTATCATACAACATTTATCTTCAACGAAGTCGTCTAAAACCTAAGATCGAAACGATGATTATCTTCCTATAGCACAGAGTATTTCTGCAGAAGCGAAACATCAAAGGAACTTTGTATTACACGTGTCCATCTGGGGTGACCTTGTAAACCTATTTAGGAACAGTTTACGTATGTGTCACATAACACACATACATATCTGTAGTTGTAAAGTATATGTGATGTATAAAGGATACATAAGTCACATGTTTCTATTTCAAAAATTGTAGTATCGTTTATAGACCTAAACATAAAATTGTATCATTAATTTATTTTATTTAAATATGTATAATTTTTCCAATTGTTGCAATCAGTGGACATAATAAATAAAAATATTAAACGTATTTGGCAATGTATGAAGAATCACGTACATGGGAGTAGCATTTATCCCCATGTATGTACGTTATGTGTTGAACATAGATTACATTGTCGTGTTTCAACGTTCTCTAGATCTAGAGATAAAATCATAAAGCACTTTTGTAATTAGAATGAAGTCACGGAGGATTTTAAAGGTCAGAGAGGATATTTTTGTTGCGGCTGTGTTTGGTACATGTAGCGTCATCTGTGGTAAATTACTGTTCAGGCAGCCGCTTGAGACTAATACCGAAGGGCCTATTCTCATTCTGACAAATTGTTCATCATGTACGTATACATATACATTATTTTTCCTATTAACCCTTTAGATCCTTAAGGCCAGCTTTATTGTCTACATTAGAATTGCTTATCAAGGTTATGTCAAGATTATGTCAAGGTGAATAAAAAACTACTTTACACTTTTAGTTTTATTTTCTTGCATACAGTATACAGTCGTCCCTCAATTCAAGAGCTTTTTCTTCTCCCAATTCAAGAACCTTTCTATTCCCACCAGTCTATTGCGCATCCACCTTCGCGCAGACGATCTATTTCCTGTTGAGACTCCTTCGACCACGGACAGGACCTATTGAACTCGGGCATGTAGCCGTTGCAACCAACATTTTTCCCTGCGAGGAGCCTCATTTCTCGCAGTAGTTCCGATGGTCTTTTGTTCTGCAGATCGATTCCCGACAGCAGCTGTATCAATTGCGTCTCTTCGGACGTTGCCAAACGCGAAATGAGAGCCTCTTTTATTTGAATATACGAGTCGTCTGTCGGAGGTGCAGCTATAACGTCGGCGACAACTTTCATCGATGCGGTATCAAGATGTCTGATTACCGCAGCGCATTTTACCGCGTCGGCTTTAACAGTATAGGCCGCGAATTCACGTTCGAGCATGGCGAACCATAGTTTGGGTTCTTCTCGCCAAAAGTTAGGTAGCTTCGCGTTTCTGAACTCACTTGCCGCGATTTCCATTTTATCTTCTTTGTCGGCCATGTTGTGGTGGTCCCGGGTTTCGGCACCAATTAATATGTGGCGGTTCACTTGGTATTATGTTCTCTTAAATTGGATTCTCTAAGAACTGGGGACGATGGCTTTTCGAAAATAAAGGAAACAATTAATTTGGCTAACTCGTAACGTGTTTATTCAACTTTATGCGTACGTCCTTAGACTGTTTGTACGTCTATGCTCTTGGGAGATTGATATTAGAAAGTGAGTCTGTACGTCTGTACTCTCGGGAGATTGCTATTAGACTACTTTTAGAATCTGTTGGTTTTGCTTAGCAACTGTTAGTAGCAACTGTTAGTAACTAGAATGAAGGTGACGCTGAGTGCCGCTTATACGGGCGTACCCACAACCACTCTCCCCCTAGTTTTTTTTATAAAACTATATACAATGTCTAAATATTTACAATAATAAAATATTTACAATAATAGATTATGAATCCGGTAACATGACAAAAATATTTATATGGTAAACGTGACTTTCTTTGGTCCTCGATATGTTCGTAATTGCGAACAGGGTGGATTTTCTTGAGTTTTTTCCAAAAACGCTGGTTTCAAACGTTCTGTGGTTATGTTGGTGTGTCTTCCCTTGTAGTCCACCTTGTAGATTCTGTCTGTTACTCTTTCTACTATTGCAAAAGGTCCTTCGTACGGGGGTTTCAATGGTTTCTTGGTTGCGTCGACTCGCACGAAAATGTGTGTACATTCAGTTAAAGATTTGTGGATGAAACTTCTTGGTTTAATATGGTGCGCTGTTGGCACTGGTCGGACTTTTCTGATATGTTCCCTGAATTGTTCTATGAAGATTTGCGGATTGTTTTGTGGTTCTCCTTCTAGGAAGAATTCTCCTGGAAGTCGTAGAGTAGTTCCATATAGCATCTCTGCTGCTGTAGCCTTTAAATCTTCTTTAAAACTTGTCCTGGGTCCTAGTAAAACTGTCGGTAGAATTTTTACCCAGTCTGGATTATTGTGGCAAGCTATTGCCGTTTTTAGTGATCTGTGCCATCTTTCTATCAAGCCGTTTGCCGCTGGATGGTATGATGTGGTTCTCGTTCTAGAACATCCAACCAGTTGCGTGAGGGCTTGGAATAGTTGAGATTCGAATTGAGTACCTTGATCGGTAGTTATCGTCAAAGGTGAACCGAATCTTGATATCCAGGTTGTATAAAGGGCGGTTGCTACTGTGTCCGCCGTGGCATCTTTGATTGGTGCAGCTTCTGGCCATCTAGTAAATCTATCAATCATCGTCAGACAGTAGGAATAACCTTGTGCTTTTGGTAGTGGTCCTATTATGTTTATGTGGACGTGATCGAATCGTCCTTTTGGTACATCTATTTTGTTTGGGACGTTCTTGGTATGCCGCTGTATTTTGTTCTTTTGGCATGTGATGCACGTTCTGGTCAGCTCTTTTATTTGAGCATTCATCTTTGGCCAAACGAAGTTCTTCGAAATTATCTTCTGTGTGCTCCTACCACTGGGATGCGCTAGGCTGTGCGTTGCGTTGAAGATTTTTCTTCTTAACGTCTCTGGAACGTATGGACGTATATTATTTTCAGACATGTCACAGTATAAATATTTGTCCGTGTTGTCCAATGCGATCTTGTGCAGCCTAAACGGAGAAGTGGTATCCTGTAGAATCGTCTGGAGTTCCTCATCTGTTGCTTGTTCTCTGATGAGTTCATCTGTTGACACAAGAATGGGCATGTCCACTTCTTCAATTCTTGAGAGCGCGTCTGCAACCTGGTTGTTGAGTCCTGCTATGTGCGTAATTTGTGTTGAAAATTGACCAATGTATTCCAAATGTCTCTGCTGTCTAGGTGAAGCTTTATCTGAGTTTTGGACAAAAGCTTGAGTCAGAGGTTTGTGATCAGTTTGGATCGTGAGGTTTCTTCCTTCTACCAGATGTCTGAAAAACTTTAAACTTTTGTAGATCGCTAATAATTCTCTGTCATAAACGCTATATCTAAGTTGTGCTTTTTCTAGCTTTCTTGAGAAAAAACCTAAAGGATGCCAGTTGTTTTTATGGTACTGTTCCAGTACAGCTCCGATTGCTTGATCTGATGCGTCTGTTGATAATCGAAGTTGCGCATCTTCGCTTGGAAACTGCAGTAGAGATGATTTTGCTAGCTGTTCTTTACTTTCTGTGAACGCTGCTTCAGCTTCTGGTGTCCATTTGACTGGTCTCTTATCTTTCTTCTTGGAACCCACTAGTAATGCGTTTAGTGGAATGTGCGTTTTTGCAGCTCCGGCAATGAATCTACGGTAAAAGTTTAGAATTCCTAAAAATCTTCTTAATTCTATTATTGTACCTGGTTTAGGATATTCCTGGACGGTCTTGACGCGTGAGGGTAAAGGTGCGATTCCTTTACTGCTGATTTCATAACCTAAGTAGGTAACTGACTCTTGACCAAAAACGCATTTCTTGACATTGATTGTTAATCCGTGTTGCTGTAGCCGTTCAAATATAATGCGCAGATGTCTATCGTGTTCTTCTGGTGTGTTTGATGCTACCAGAATGTCATCGATGTAGCAATGGCAGAATGGCAAGCCCCTCAGCACTGTATCCATGAATCTTTGGAACGATTGTGCGGCATTGCATAATCCGAATGGCATCACTGTGAATTCGAACAATCCGAACGGTGTGATGACTGCTGTTTTGCATCTGTCTTCGGGTGCCACTGGTATCTGGTGGTATGCTCGGGCAAGATCAAGTGTCGTGTAAATCTTAGTGTTTGTAAGATGGTGCGCTATGTCGTGTATATGTGGTAGTGGATAACGGTCTGGTTGAGTCATGTTATTTAATCTGCGATAGTCACCGCAAGGTCTCCACTCACCGGTCTTTTTCCTTACCATGTGTAAGGGACTAGCCCATTGGCTGCTAGAGGGTTGACAAATACCGTGTCGCATCATCTCTTCGAATTCTGCCTTAGCAGCTTTAAGTCTGTCTGGAGGCAGACGACGTGCCCGTTCTGCGATTGGTGTACCTTTGGTGGAGATATGATGTTGTACGCCGTGTTTTAGGTACGCTTTGGAGTTCTGCCTGGTGATTGAACTAAATTCTTTTAGCAACGTAGAAAAACTGTTAGTCTTACCTATTGTAGTCACTGTTGATTGAGTCGAGTTTATGACTTTTCCAACTGAAAATAGGCGTGTCTGACTATCAATGAGTCGTTTGTTTTTTATGTCCACCAGTAGGCCGTGTTGTCCTAAAAAATCTGCTCCTAGGATGGCTTTGGTGGTATCAGCGACGATGAATCTCCATGAGAACTGTCTTCGAAGACCCAAGTTTAAAGAGAGCAGCTGTTCACCATACGTGTTTATGGGTGTTCCATTTGCTGCGTACAGTTTAAAATCGTCGTCTATTCTTCTTTGGATGTGTGGAGACTTTGGTATGACTGATACATCGGCTCCTGTATCTACCAGATATCTCACACCTGTTTGCTTGTCGCTTATTATTAGGCGATTTTGTACATTAATACCATCCTGTAACGCCTCTATACGGGACAGTGGGTTTAGTTTCCCTGACTCTTCCTTTTGTCGAGTCCTTTCCATTGGCAGGGTTGTCTGCATTTCCACGAGTTCTTGCCGAACTTCCTGTGGAAATAACATAGTCCGTCGTCTCTAGTTCGACTCCTTGATTTCGAACTGTATCTTCGGAATTTCTTGTGTTCCGGTCGTCGTCTTCTGTGGGTGTCTCGGATTGATGCTTCGAGTTGGGCTATTCGCTTGATGAGCTCAGCAATTTCTGAGCTTGGATAGGAGTCACGTGGTTGGGCCGCCATCTCCGCTAGCTCGTATTGTGACGATCTTTCGATCGTTTTGTCGGCGAGCAGAGCTAATTTTTCTGTTGAGACTCCTTCGACCACGGACAGGACCCCTTGAACTCGGGCAGGTAGTCGTTGTAACCAAGCATGAATAGCGTCATTTCTCGCAGTAGTTCCGATGGTCTTTTGTTCTGCAGATCGATTCCCGACAGCAGCTGTATCAATTGCGTCTCTTCGGACGTTGCCAAACGCGAAATGAGAGCCTCTTTTATTTGAATATACGAGTCGTCTGTCGGAGGTGCAGCTATAACGTCGGCGACAACTTTCATCGATGCGGTATCAAGATGTCTGATTACCGCAGCGCATTTTACCGCGTCGGCTTTAACAGTATAGGCCGCGAATTCACGTTCGAGCATGGCGAACCATAGTTTGGGTTCTTCTCGCCAAAAGTTAGGTAGCTTCGCGTTTCTGAACTCACTTGCCGCGATTTCCATTTTATCTTCTTTGTCGGCCATGTTGTGGTGGTCCCGGGTTTCGGCACCAATTAATATGTGGCGGTTCACTTGGTATTATGTTCTCTTAAATTGGATTCTCTAAGAACTGAGGACGATGGCTTTTCGAAAATAAAGGAAACAATTAATTTGGCTAACTCGTAACGTGTTTATTCAACTTTATGCGTACGTCCTTAGACTGTTTGTACGTCTATGCTCTTGGGAGATTGATATTAGAAAGTGAGTCTGTACGTCTGTACTCTCGGGAGATTGCTATTAGACTACTTTTAGAATCTGTTGGTTTTGCTTAGCAACTGTTAGCAACTGTTAGTAACTAGAATGATGAAGGTGACGCTGAGTGCCGCTTATACGGGCGTACCCACAACCACTCTCCCCCTAGTTTTTTTTATAAAACTATATACAATGTCTAAATATTTACAATAATAAAATATTTACAATAATAGATTATGAATCCGGTAACATGACAAAAATATTTATATGGTAAACGTGACTNGCAGCTGTATCAATTGCGTCTCTTCGGACGTTGCCAAACGCGAAATGAGAGCCTCTTTTATTTGAATATACGAGTCGTCTGTCGGAGGTGCAGCTATAACGTCGGCGACAACTTTCATCGATGCGGTATCAAGATGTCTGATTACCGCAGCGCATTTTACCGCGTCGGCTTTAACAGTATAGGCCGCGAATTCACGTTCGAGCATGGCGAACCATAGTTTGGGTTCTTCTCGCCAAAAGTTAGGTAGCTTCGCGTTTCTGAACTCACTTGCCGCGATTTCCATTTTATCTTCTTTGTCGGCCATGTTGTGGTGGTCCCGGGTTTCGGCACCAATTAATATGTGGCGGTTCACTTGGTATTATGTTCTCTTAAATTGGATTCTCTAAGAACTGAGGACGATGGCTTTTCGAAAATAAAGGAAACAATTAATTTGGCTAACTCGTAACGTGTTTATTCAACTTTATGCGTACGTCCTTAGACTGTTTGTACGTCTATGCTCTTGGGAGATTGATATTAGAAAGTGAGTCTGTACGTCTGTACTCTCGGGAGATTGCTATTAGACTACTTTTAGAATCTGTTGGTTTTGCTTAGCAACTGTTAGCAATTGTTAGTAACTAGAATGAAGGTGACGCCGAGTGCCGCTTATACGGGCGTACCCACAATTTGTACTTTTCGCCTCGTAGGATTCTCGATCTTTGTTAGCGAATTTGCGAACGATGCTTTTCTTTCTGTTCAGTATCTCAGAGGAAGCGACAACGTTGCCTGTATGTAGTGTATCAAGGTCACCTAAGTTAAGAATATAAATATTAAAAGTTCTAACAAGAGATTCACCTCTAGTATACTCTATGGTTTTATGCACAGTTGGAAATTAAAATGAATGCGGTTGTGATTGGTTGTTGTTATTATTAAGTATTACTAGTACATTATGTATCTCTTTTATTGGTCGAAGTAGTAGTACTACGTATCAATGACTTAGGTTATATAATGAACAAAACTAGATGAGACGAGGGAAGAAATCCTTTCGACTTTAAATCGTCTTCTAAATTAAGTTACAACTTCACAAGTTATACATACCTATATTGTCATCAGCGGTAAACACAGTAGTCACACACATCAAATTTAAATGCCACGTGTAATAGAAAATACATATTTCTAATTTGTCTATTTCTGTAAACGACTGCTTTACGCGTTATGTTATTGGTCAATAAAAGATGTAGTGATCACGTGTTCGACTCCTTCATACACATTATACATATATGTGTATAAATTCAGTGACATGTATTATGTCAATGTGACAGAACTGTCAAAGAGAAGTATTTTATTCAAACAGAATTCAACGTTAGAAAAATTAAAACGTACCTGTGTAAATTTATGGTTAAAAATAGAACGTGAGAACATGCATCAAAAGTTCAGATATACTAAACTTACAAAAACTGTAAACATTGAGGCTATATCAAGGTACTTTGGTTACACAATTTTATAAAAGTTTATGAAAAGACATCGCATTGTCTTTTTGTAGATGTATTTAAATTAACAAGTGGTTAATGAGAAGATAGAAATTGTTGAGTGTTAACTAAGTTGTATATAGAAAGCTTTTGAAAATATAATTGAAATTATGGCAGCAATACGACATACGCTACAAAGAGAAGTGTTTACGCCTGGTGATGAGAAATTATTAAGTGTATGTTATGTAAGTAAGGCATATAAAAAGAAGAAAATGAGCTTTCTTTGCTTAATTACAACCACAGATACACCTCCGTCGTTACTTTTGTATCAAGTAAAAAAGAATGACAAAAATATATTTAAAAAAAAGCAATCATGGTCATTAAGTGATATTCAAATTGTTGATGGAGTTAAAAATGATTCTATGGATATAGAATTACACATCGACAAGTTATACAAATGGTCTGTAACAACAGCTCAGGAACGAAGAACATTTCTGAGCAATTTGTATACCTATTCTTGTAGCATAGCTCAGAGACCACAATTTAAAAATATTCCTAAAGAATGGCTTATAGATCCAAGTTCCCTAAAGGAAAGTGACAGTATCACTTTTACACCAGGTAATCATTTCTATGGATGTTACAAAAACAAAGATACAAGATTTTCACAACTGGGATTCGTATTCCCTCTATCCCATATTATGGTATGCATTTCATTTGTTTAAGATGAGTTTTTAACCGAATTTCAATACTTTGATTTTAGAACTTCTCACATCACCTATTTCATCAGATTATCAACCTATTACTGAAAAAGAAGCTGCTGATTTGAAACAAATGATGGAAAATTGTGAATATGCAGTTGCTAATGCAGAACTTTTTATGGAAACTCTTTCTAAAGATCTCTCTATTCTTGATGGGGTAAATTTTTAACAAGTTCTAGAAATCATGATTATTTTTGTTATTAAATTTAACTTTAACTCGGTTTTACATTATTTATCAATTCAGGAAAATGTACAATCAGTTTTGGCGTCAGAAGCCCGTGTAACACAATTGATGAATAGTATTGAAGCAGCAATAACTGAAGCTTCAATTGTGGAAGCGCGTCTTGCAGCTTACGATGAAGCACTTGGTAGAATTAGAGAAGTCATGGCTCGTGTGGGTCAAAAAAATCAAGCTATTCATACAGCTAATAATAATGCAAGACTTCTATTAGATCAGTTAAATACAGTCATAGTAAGTAAATATTTTTTCTTTAAAAATCATATCTTTTATAATCATATATAGAATCATGTAATTAAGTACTTCGTAATTTACCTTATTCATATACAATATTTAATTTTCCTTAACAAGTCACAATTGGATATATCACCAACTCATCAAGACGTATTGAATGAAGCTGAGCTACCAGGAGAAAAAGAAGGACTCAGTCAAGCTGGTGCTGCTCTTCTAAAAGCCATAACCGCTCCCTTGCCACCAGGACTTGATAAATTAAGTGCAGTAACTGAGCAAAAGAGACGTCTTGATAAGCATAGAGCAAAATTCTCTATAATTGTGGCTAGGCACTTGAATAATCTTTTTATACATTTGGTATATATTCTTGAATTCTACATTCTACTTTTATATTGATTGATTGAAAAAAGTATATTATTTTAAATTTTTTGTTTTATAGGGTAACGATATTGGAGAAATATCGACATCGTCAACAGATTTGATTCTTCCAACACATCAAGCAGTTCACTATGAACTTGAGCCATATACTGAGTTAATGCAATTATTAAGAGCATTAGATAATAAGGCTTTTATACAATTAACCAAAGTTTATACAGATACAATGAGTAAATTGTATAAAAGAGATTTAAAGCGTTTTTTCGAAGAAGCAAAAAATAAACTAATTTCTAAACGTCTCCAAGGTATAATTCTATGATTTTTTAAAATTATAATAATGATATATTATTTTTAACAAGATTTTTTTTTGAAGCAAATACATCAAGATCTAGTGGACAAAAGGCAGAAGATTTATTAAATCCAGCACCTATCTGCTTGTTAAGTGGTGAAGTATGGGCACCGGTAGGGGATGGAAATCTGTTAGATTCCGTTCTTGATTGCATGCTTTCACAAATGCAGCCAGTTTGTCTTGCAGAACAAGCCTTTTGTATTTCATTTCTGCAATTGGACTCTGTACTTTCTCCATCAAAAGTATGTAAATTTTACTTTGAGGATATATTACAACATATGTAAACTAAGTATTCTTTTGAATGTGTCAGAGTAGCGAATTGGAAGAAACAGATAATGTCAGCAATGGAGCAGCAAGTCCTGGTTCAGTTACCTCCACTACGAGTAAGAAATTGGAAAGACAAGTAAATGAAGAAGTACGTGCAACAATGGCAGCAATATTTCCATCATTGGAAATTGAATTAAATAATTTTATTGCCTTTTTGGACAAAATTGATAGTTTGTAAGTTTATTCAAAGACGTTTTGTTTTTTATATAATTATCTTATATCACATTTGTTTGTTTACTTGTATATTAATGTTTGATATAATTCTTATAGTTGGTGCATGTACGTCTTGGTACGTTTATCCCAACATGTGATGTCAGCGCAAGATACTGGTTCTTTTTTATCTATGACATTTGCTTCAGCTTTAATTCAAGTTAAGAGATCTTTTGACAAATTTATGCAAACTCAGATGCAATCGATTCTATCTGATACAAAAGTTAATCGCAGAAACAAATGTGGTATATTGTCGTACGTAGAAAATTTTGAGCAATTTGCAAAAACCGCAGAAAAAATCTTTAAAAATTCGGATCGAAAAGTTGATCTTGAAAAATGGTACACTAAATTAGTAAGTACAATGTTTGAAGCAATTGTTATACATAGCAGAGAACACCACAAAACTCCACCAGAAGTTATTAAAATGGGTAAGGGGCTAAAATTTTACATTTATTTTCTTCTTTTATTCATATAGCTAAATATAACATGTAAATTACATTGCAGAAAATTTTCATCATTTATATGATCTTCTTTCACAATTAAAAATATCTGTACTTGATCATGAGCGTAAGGAAGCTAAACAAAAATACCACGATGCTTTGCGGGCATATGTTACACAATATTTTGGAAGACCTCTTGAGAAGCTTAATGTTTGTTCATTAAAAATTTCAAATTATTTTCAGTATATGATTTTGAAGTTCTTATTCTAAATAGAAATGTTTATTCTTTCAACAGCTATTTTTTGAAGGTGTGCAAGCCAAAGTTGGTGCTGGAGTTAAAGAATCTGAAGTTAGTTATCAAATGGCTTTCAGTAAACAAGAACTTAGGCGTGTTGTAAAGGAATACCCAGCTCGAGAAGTCAAAAAGGGTTTGGAAAATTTGTATAGAAAAGTCGAAAAGCATCTGTGTGAAGAAGAAAATTTATTACAAGTAAATGAAAAGTTTAATATAGTATTATAATATACTATTATTATCTATTATACATAACATTGTTGTAGGTTGTCTGGCGTGAAATGCAAGGTGAATTCATTGCACAATATATATACATAGAGGAATTGATACAACGATGTTATCCGGATAGTATGGTAACTCTCGAATTTACCATACAAGATATATTAGAATTTTTCTCTGAGATAGCTCGATCTCACTGAGAAACTTAATAAACCAAAATTGTAAAGTGAATAAAATTTTGTAATTCGTATTAGTATTTAGATTGAAGTAATAAAACAATAAAGTAATATAATTTCCTATAAACAAAATGAAAACAAAATTTATTGCTCCATGAAATAAATAAAAAGGAAGTTACTAAAAGTTATTATACATATACTATTATATATTAAGGGATTATTTCATT